TTTGCCAGACTTTCGAATCAACACGTGGGGCGAGGAATTGTCCCATCGATCTGCGTGATACCATGGCTTGTATTCCTAAAAAGATTATAGTTTGAAACAAGATTGAACTTAAAAATGAAATAGATTGAAAAAAATCCGAAAAAAAACTTTGGCAGAAAAAAACTGCGCCGCAAAAAAACCGTGTGGTTCTTGCAAATCACAGATTTCCTTGAAAAATTCGAAAAATCGACTTTTCTCTCTTTAACTTTGTTTTTCAAGGTTTTTCTGAACGAAATAACGATTTATTTTTTTCAAAAATGATCCGAAAAAGAGATATCAAGAATAAAAAAATAGAAAAAAATAGTCGATATTCTAAAAAAATTGGGGTTTTTTTCAATAAAATTCATACTTTTTTTCGGTTTCTTTCATTTTTTTAATATTTCCGTGACTGAAATTCAAATATTTTCAGCAAAAAAAGTATTATTCTTCAACAACGATACCTGCTCAATGAATTGAACACAAGTTCGTCTTCCAATTTGCGAAAAAGCGTCCCGTAGAACACTTCTTTCAAAATTGTCCAAACTTGGCCAAAAGTATACCTTTTGGCTGGGTTTTCTGAAGAAAAAAATTCATTATGAGTTAGAAAAAAAAAAGATACCTCAAAATTTTATCATCAAAACTGGGTGCATCGATGTCATTGCCCAACAGTTGCGGAGCTGCTCGAGCCTTAATTTATTAATTTTGTCTTTTTGAAGATTCTAGTTCAACTTTCAAACCTTGGGACGGCATTTTTTAGCTTTAGCGTCGGCGTGCGAAAATATAGCCGCAAAAAATAGAACAGTATAAAAAATGGAAACACGGAACATTGCTTGATGATGCTTAGATTTGATACGGGGGAGCTTTTCGGATCGGATTCTAGGGAAATTGGGTCAAAAAGCGCCGGAAAACCCAGCCCACCTTTCGCTTTTCGTATCTTTTATCATCAAGTCGCGGTGATTTATGATTTAGTACGTTTTTTGTAGGATTATGGATGTCAAAATTTTGGATGGTATTTCAATTTTTCGAAATTTTGTCCTTTTTCTATGGATCATAAGGCGAAATTCTCGAGACTGGGAAAATTCATAGTGGCCACTATAGAGGCTCATCAAGGACTACTTGGAGAGGACACTAAAGTGGCCATTATTTTCCGTTTTAGTGGCCACTACAGTAGTTTTTCATCCAGTATTCCTTCCAGTAACTCTGATAATTTAAAAACAAACAGATTGGACCAGTTATGTTGATCCATTTACCCCCAAAGTGGCCACTAAAGTTTTTAGTCGTCTAGTAGTAGCACTTAGACCTCTATAGTGGCCACTAGTTTTTAACCCCTTAAGTGGCCACTAATTTGACTACTATAGAGGCCTTGAAAACGTCAAAACCCTATAGTGACCACTAAAAATTCTCCCAGTTACTTAGGAGTTTCAGAGTGGCCCGTATAGGGGTAAAATTAAGGTGGGGGTTTAGGAAGCTCAAGTGAACCCTTCAGGGGTTTCCAATTTTATTCAAAAAACGCTTATTCATTCAGTTTTGCATGTCCCTATAGGGACCACTTTTGCAAGCTTTAGTGACCCCTATAGGGTTGGTAAAGTGGTCCCTGGAGGGGACCCTAGACCCGTGAATTAAAAACATTTCGTTTCTTTATTTTTTTCTCAATAACTTTCCCTGATTCAAAAAATAATCAACTTATTTATTCAATCCATACAAAACGAACAAGTATACATAGGTCCAGGAAAAACCGAAGAAGAGGCAAATAAAAGCTTTCGAATCGTGGCGGGGATGAAAGAAATGCAAAATAATAATGATAATACAAGAATATTCGATATAACTGTACAAGAAAGGAATTAAATAAGTAAAAGGGGGGAAAATTGGTCCTGAAGTGTTAAAAGTCAAGTAAGCAAAGGGGTAAACTCGTGTTAGTTTTTGAAAGAAGCGAGAAAAAAGTCATGAAATATATTTTTTAAAATCACAAATCAGGAAAGCGCGTGGCATCTTCTCTGTAAGAAGCTGGGATGTGGAAAATCTTGTCCGAGATTTTATTGTTGAATTCAAACTTCTGGAACGTGACTTTTGCGGAAATTGTCGCCAGAAGGGGTATTTCTGAAAAAAGAACATACATTTTCAGGTTTAATACATGAAAAATTTGTAGCTCTTACGCAAATTCATTCAAAAAAACATGGAAAAACTCTTATTTTTTTTGTTGATAAAATTGACAAATTATTAAAGGAGCATGGTTAGAAATTCATATCGGGTCTCAAGACGAAGAGCCATTTTTCAGTGCTGTTTTGCAGGTTTTTTGCGCTTTTTAAAGAAGATAAGCTAATAAATGAGCCGAATTGCTTCAAAAACACCTTACATGTAAGACTCTATACTTCCAAGTAAAATAATTCAAAATATTCTTTCAAAAGCTTCTGAACCATTTTCAAATGAACTACTACCTTTTTCTTGCCCCCAAAAAGTGACTTTAAGATTCATTTTCAAACCGTGAGATCTACCTAAAATCACTGAAACTTGCGAAATTTAACATTGACTGCTTTTAACATTCTCAAAAATTTCTTGAGCTCCATTTTGCTAAGTTGAAAATCAAAAACTACTCGTAAAAAGGAGCTCTTGAAATGATGTCAATTTCACCTAAACCAAAGGCTCTAAAAGTGGTAAAAATCGATAAGTTCCAAAAAATGGAAAAAAAAGATACTTTTTCTCAAACTTCGAAAACGTCTCTACAGTTTCGAGTAACTTTTAAAATCACTCAAAAATTAGTAATACGTTTATAAGAACGAGTTCCGCTAAATACACTGCAAAAGTCGGAAGTGCGGAAAACGGGTGCAAAATGGCCGCTAAAAGGGCCATTATTGAGCCTTTCTTCCTTGAAGGTTGAAAAGGCTTAAAAAAGAGTGAAAAAGGGTGAAGAAAAATAAGGGACGCTAAAAGGACTGTAAAGGGTCCTTCCGACTTTGCCTATGTTTTGGGTCTAGTTTTTTTTAACTTGACCTGGAATCGAAATATCTCGCGTGCAAAATGATGTAGGAAGCATTTTTTGTGAAAAGATACGGAAAAAAAGGAACTTTTGAGGTCATATTACGAAGAAATATGCACTTGCACCTCAAAAAATTCCCAAAAACTAGAAAGTTTGAAAAAAATCCAGCATGCTGGGAGAAAAAAATTTAGTGGCCACTATAGGGTTTTTGACGTTTTATTCGTCATTATAGTAGTCAAATTAGTGGTCCCTTAAGTGTCCTCTCCAAGTAGTCCTTCCGGTAACTCTGATAAGTTTAAAACAAACAGATTGGACCAGTTATGTTGATCCATTGACCCCTAAAGTGTCCACTAAAACTTTTTGTGGTCTAGTAGTAGCACTTATACCTCTATAGTGGCCACTAATTATCAACCCCTTTAGTGGCCACTAGTTTTACTACTATAGTTGTCACTAAAAATTTTCCCAGTGTTCTAATGATATTTTCCAACTTCTATCTACTAATTTATTTCCATTTGAATTTTTTAAAAGGCTTATAGCTCTACCAGAAGCGCATTTTTCTTAGAAGGGATCCCTCAAACTCCCAAAGAACCGACCAACACAGACGGGGAAGCCAGGCGGGAGTCTTGCGGTACAGAATCGTCTCAATTTGTCGAGATGCTTGAACGGCGCGACGACTTCGAGTAAATCCACGAGGACCTCGACGGTCAACGGGAAGTCCTCACACTGAAAATGGGCATGAAAACAAAAATTTTATTGATTTTAGTACCATTCCAACGAGGGCCTTGAAGTTCTTCTCATTGGTCTTCAGAACTTGGGGTCGGCCGAGTTGTGGGGGTGCCCCGGGAGCACTTCCGGCGTATTCTTCCCACGTTGTGGGCAGTCGGCCCGGCGGTGGAAGCGATTTTCGGTGTTGGAGGCTCTAAGAATGAATTATTTTCGAAATTTGCAGTTTTTTGGATTGGAAAATAGGAAAAATCAAAATCCACAATCCAGTTTTAACTTATCTGGAAAGCTCGTGCATTTTTAAAATTTTGAAAAAAATCTATGAAAAAAACCTTTTTCAATGAAGTTCAGTACTTTTTGGAATAGAAAACAGGGAGAAATGGACTTTTAAACTTGAAAAATTCACAAAAATCCATTTTTAAAAATTTTTATTATAAAAAAATATGTTAAAGCTGAATTCTTCGATGTTTTG